CCGCTGTGACGTAACTGCACTTCCCACAGTGACGTAACAAGGGATACCGCGGTTACTACACAGCAATAAACAACTCTCGACAGCGTTGCCCAGGAACGCCTGTAAACACGGCGGTTACGCAACAGTGGTACCTATCACGTAACTGTTTTCTATGTTGTCCGTGCCGAGCCTAAATAAGGAGCAGCGAACACTATTCAGCTGTGAGTTACTAGTGAGTACGATTAACCAGTCAGTTAAAATGTAACAGCCGCCAAAGTTAGTTGAAATATAGCAGCAGTCGCGGAAAGAAGACCCGAACATGTTGTGAGAAGATTTTATGTGACAGTGCGCCAGTGAAGACTTATTGTGTGCCTTCAAGACTTTGTGCGCGCTGTAGTACAGTTATATTGGGAGTGCGTAATTCACAGACTTGTATAGCTCCCGCGTTATAAATACATGAAGACTACCGAGGGTAGAGTGAATAGAATAGTGTGTAGGGTTTGTAAACTGTGTAAATCCACAACAGTGTTATAATTAATTGTAGGTTGTTAAATAAACCAATTAACAATCCGAACGTTGTCTTCAGTAGCAAAACAGGTTACAATATCATTTATAATACACCTCGAAATATTGGTTAATTTACGTCAACAATAGCAGGCACTCTGCAAATAACGAAAAGGTATTCAAATGATGAAGGTTTGCTACAAGAAATTAAACTGCGTAATCAATATGTTTATGTACGTACGATATTTTTTAAATATTCTTGGGGGTAAAGGGCGGCTGGTGTGTAAGGCTGATAACCTTGCCGCAATCTATGAGTCGATTGTCTAGAAAATGTGGGAATCTCAACACATCACAACCTTATGGGTCTCCACGACCTGTTACATAGATACCTTTACTCTTTTTACTTACTTATGTACGTAGTTTAATCCAATATCCCACTAATCGTAACGAAGGCGCTGACTTTATTTACGTTGCACTAAATCGCAGGTTAATGTAAAGAATTCTGTGAGTAAACCGTGAATGAATCAATACTGCCGTTTACTTGGAAGTTCCATGCTTCCAGAAGTCACAAACTTCCTTGCTGGTTTGCCTATCGCACCAGAATCTTCAATTATACACTGAATACGAAATGGAAAGCTATCCCATGAAAAGTTTATACTTGGCGGATAGAGGAAATTGGAGATAAGACTCAGTAAGTACCATTGAAACAGTTCTCAGACATTGCATTCAGTGTTCTTTGATGTTACCAAGACGGCAGTACGTTTATGTTGATCTACTTTGAAATTTCTGAAAAGTTACCGTGGAAGTGAAACGTCTATTATACAGAATTCCAGTACTTCTTAATTGTATAAAGCTACATTTTCTTCCTTTCCCCTTTATCTTCTGCGCTTCTTTCTTTCTTCCGTCTTTTAGCTTCCTTATTGCCTTTGTTTCAGGTTCTTCCATTTATTCCTTTTATTTTATTTTGGCAGTAGCTTTTACACCAGGCATGTCAAACTCAACTTGTACAGACGGCCACCTCAGCCCTATAAATAATAGTCAAGGGCCGCACTTCAAAATAGAAATATACATTAGATTCTGATACAAGGAAATTTAATTCTATTTATTATTTAGGAATAATTTCAATATATTACAGCGTTCCGTATATAATGCCTCCTATTTTTTTAAAAGAAAACTACAACAGATACAGAAAGCATAATAATTCAGTTAAATAGAGCAAGATTTCAGCTACTTACAGTTATTTTTCCACATAATCATCACCATTCGTTATGCACTTTTGCCAGCAATGAACAAGAGCCTGTAGGCGGCGCCCGTAAAAGTCTGCGCCAGCAGAGGCTAGCCACTTTCTTACAGCTGCAATGACAGCATCGTTGTCTGGAAAATGTTGCCCACGTAGTCCGTCTTTCATAGGCCCAAAGAGATGGAAGTCTGAAGGTGCTAAATCGGGGCTATAAGGTGGATGTGGTAGGACAGTCCAGCCAAACTTTGCAATGTGCGCGGTGGTCGCAAAACTGGTATGGGGTCTAGCGTTATCGTGTTGCAAGCAAAAGGCTGTCTGCTTCTTTGGCCTGACTCGGGAAATGCGGGCTTTCAGCTTAGTCAGCGTCGTTTTGTAGCGTTCAGAATTGACAGTCCCTGGTAGTTATCTGCTGATCTGTTCGGATGAGGCGCTGTTCATTGTGAGAAGTGGCAGCTGAGCAGGGACGCCCATGGCGTGGCTCGTCGTGCACTTCACTTTCGCCACTGTTGAAACGCACTATCCACCGAATCACTGTGCTGACATCCACTGTATTGTCTCCGTACACCGTTAGCAAGTGTCGCTGGATGTCAATGGGTACAATTTGTTCGGCAGTGAGAAATTCAATAACACATCTGTGCTTCATATGCACTTCTATGTCAGACACCATTTTGGTAGACTGCTCTGCTGTCGCTATCTGTTGCACGACAACCAAACTAACAGTAGATTGGAGGAAAGGTTCAACCTTTACTACAACACCAGCAACACCCGTCTCAGACTTTACATATTAACACAAAAAATAGGAGGCATCATTTACCTAAAGTCACATATCTTAAAGTTTTAAAAAGCAAGAGAATGCAATTTTTTATAAGTATCAAACAAACATACACAAGAAGACTCGTAGTTGATAATTTAATGTTTAATTATAACATATACACGTTCATCACAATGTATCATCAGCACCTGTCGCTGTGTGAAAATGAACTGAATGACAATGTACAGGAGACTACCGGACTAGTAGGAAGGTGTATCTTGTCTCAATGGTCATAAAAGTCAAAGCTTGCTAGCAGCCCATTAGACAATGGCTGGGGTTTGCAAGCTAGTTTTGAAGGTATAAATCCCTCGCACTTGTCTGTCAGTTACCACCCTCCTTGCATTCTTACTACGCCTCCAAAAGGGATTCTTGGAAATGCTTGGGGTGGTGAGACTGTGCTGTTTTTAGTGCATTACCCTTCTGAAATACAATAGTTTGTCCTTCACGAACTTTAAAAACCGTTAGTTGGTCAAACCCTTCTGCAATTCTCAGAATCACTTTTCCTGCAGCCTGCTAATTTATGTCTGCGTGAGACTTCTTGTCTTCTGGTCTGTTGGAAAATTGTCTTTACAAGTATATTTCTACTAAAATT